AAAGGAAGGATGCCTCCTTTTGGTAGAATACCCAAATTTACACCTAAAGTATGGTGATAGGAATGGATTCATCCTAGACAAAGGCGAAGATGAATTCACTCACAAAATTTTTTATTTTGATAAATCACCTCAAATTTAACATACAATATCATATAATATCCGTAATCCATTAACAATAAACTTATTAACAATATAATAAATTAATAGATTATTTATATCAGATGACGTCATACATTAAATTTAAAATGATTTATCAAAGTAAAAAATTTTATGAGTAGATTTGTTTTTGTTTTTGTTTAGGGTGAAACCATCCTGCCACTACTAAGGATGTCAACGGGACCCCGCATAGGGATTTTTTTAGGGGGATAGATTTTGCCTTCCATCCCCATTCCTCGCGGGGAACAAGTATCCTCGTTCTCCACCAACTAATATCCAAATATATATTTTTTACATCAAATATAAATAAAGATTAATTTAACATAAATAATTAGTAGAAAAACATAAATGGTAAGAAGTATTGAGTCAGGTTGGGTTGGGTTGAAAAAAATTGAGTTAAATTTTATTGAATTAGGTTTGAGTTTGAGTTTAGGTTTGGGTTTGGGTTTAGGTTTGAAAATTATATTAAATTTAAAATAAAATTTATTTTTTAAAATTTTTCACAGGGACGGGGATCTTCACGGGGCCTTACGAGACGAGAAAATTCCCCATGAAATTTTACGAGAGAAAAATACCTCCCATCATTGCCCCACGGGAAGAAATATTCCTCCTCGTCTCGTTTCCGTGCTGAAAATCCCTGCAAAACCCCGTGATGATCAAGATAAATTGCCATCCCTAGCCACTACACGATGGATTTAGGAATTTGACCCCTCCTTTGCTGGCACTAATGTTCATCCTTTTTTTTCTTTTCTTTTTTTTTTTTTTTTTTTTGTAAAACTTCTTATTAAGTCCCCAAAACTATCTTAAATTCTCAATTAAGTACTTAAACTTTTATTAAAACAAATAAACATATAAATTTGACAATTTAAACAATTTAATCATATTCATTAAAATAAATTTAACACTCATTTGTATCTCACTTACATAAATAAAATAAATACTTATCACTTATTAGTAATAACATATCAAAAAATTAATTTACCCATATTATTAAATTCAAAAACTTATTTACTTCAATAAAAAATTTAAGATATTTTCAAAGACCTACGGTTAGGTTTTGTATTCTTTCTTCTAAACATCAGTTCATTGCAAAATGCTTTTAGTAATTGTTTTTTTGTTTTATTTTATTTTATTTTATTTTTTTGGTTTTTTCATAGGACACATGCTTACTCCCTAATCTAGGCTAAAATAAAAGGGAAATGAATTCAAAAAATATACAATCAGTTTAGAATAAAACTGAATAACATAACTACTCTCAAAAAAAAAAAAAAAACCGAATAACATAACTTTGCTAGGTGAAAATAGAACCAAAAAAGTCCTGCAAAACATGAACGGGTTCTTGCAAGTTGAACGAAAACCATATCCAGCTCAGGCTAATATGTTGGTATCTTAAATTAAAAGTTTCTATCACTTCTAAAAACCATGCAACAACAGTTACTTATGACTAAGATCAAGAAAAGTGTAAATGCTAAAAACAGGCTGCCTGGTGGCCCAAGGCAATTCTACCAGGAAAACGTCAAATATCTGAGAGGTATTGTCATAGCATTTCTTGTGATTTTCTGACACAGCGTCGAACTTTCTTCTTGAATTCATCCCTCTGTTCCCTCCATTCCTTCTGCAATTGATACAGACATAAAATACAGAGATATTATAGAAAACAACCTACCTCCAAGAATACAAGTTCAATTGTTTAAGAGAATCAAAAGCACCCAAGGGTCAAGGATGTTTTACTATAGGGCCTCCCATATCAAGTTGACCAAATTGTAATTTGTAATGTTTCACAGCTACATCGAGAATGATATGATGAATCTAGCCTAAGGAGACAACATTCACATCCTAAAATCAGGATACTGAGGCATAATCACTGCCTCATCGCCATCAGTAATGGGGGAATCAAGTAGACTAAATTACATATTTCATATGGCTATACGGAGTATACTAAAAGTAATAGGAATCAGATACAACTGTTTCATGAACAGTCACCATATTGTTATGTGGATGAAGAGAAAGGGAGACTAACTGTACATGTGACATATCAACATTATTGGCTAAAAGAAAAGTTCTAAAATTCATGGCTTACCGCAGCATCAACATTAGCAGGGGATTCATCATTAGGACTGGAAAGCATTGATATAATACTCAACACTATACTCTCAACCTGCAAATTAGAGATATCAATCAGCAGAGTAAAACTGTTAACAGGATGACAAACATGACCACAAGCCAAAGGATCATATGGATGGTAAAACAGAGAACACAAGAGGTAGGAGAAAGGCATTTCATGCACTATTGTGGTTGGAAGTTCAAAAAAAGTATATATTTTAACATTGGTTTCCTAACTCTTCTTTTCGTTTTTGCAAGCTCTCTCTGTCTAACAGTACTCCACATTTTCTCAAGTTCTTCTCTTCCATCACCATCTTTTCCCCTCTTTAATAAAGCTGAAACTACAAATGACTGTAACCAGAAATTACAATATTCAAAGCTGTGAGAACATAGATATTATCACGGTACTCAAATCTGATTCTAATGTGACGTTTCAGTTCCCCATGGGCAATTGAAGCTTTAATGACAAAATCCAACCCCAACCAGCTCATGCTATCTCTTTAAATCAGAGATGTGCTAGGGTATAGAAACAACGCCTCAATTTAAGCGAGGGTTAAGCCTCTCAGAGCTAATTGTGGCGACCTCTGGAGTCGCCCACCACCATGATTCACTGTGAATTAGAACTGCCATCAGATGGCCAAGCCACAGAATGTATTGATGATGTGCACAGAGGCAAAGAGTTACCATAACTATGTCACTTCAGCTTTTGTCCCAGGTATGATTCCAGAATGCAAGTGAAAAACTTCCCCTTGACCACTTTCAGCATTCATTGACCTCCCCGTAGTCCCTTTGGCAAAGCATTTAGCTTTGGACATCTGGGTCTCGGGATCGAGGCTGGTGTGGTCACACTTTCAGCATTCTAGTGGTTAGTTATTATACAATTGAAAAATGAGTAAACAAAGAGAAGGTTCAGGTGTACATAATATGACTGGAAAATCACCTCAATACAGTAACTAAGCAGGGCTTAGTATTGTACAAAATTCATAAGGCATATATAGAAATAAAATCCAACATAAGGAGTCAAAAAGGAATAAAAAACATATCATCAAGGAAGACATAGGCTTCGTTTACTATGATTGTGGTTTTTGAATTGTGGTTTTTGATTTGTGGTTTTGATTTTTATAAAAAAAATATTTCCCTAAGAAAATGAATGAAGCAAGAATGATTAATCAGGCAAAATTAGCTGCATACGGTGTGAAGTGGGTTCCAGCGCTCGGTTGCAAGCTCATAACCATTGGGATCATCACCAGGGGGATGGAGAATTGATATGCAAACCCTTCCATCAGGGAACACTGTAGTCAAAAGCATACTTAAATCATCTTGTCCAAACCAAATAAGAAAAAGGAAAGACAAGATAGACATAATTCAAAAGTCTCAGAGCAGAAGACAAAAACTCACCATTAGGATGCCATATCTCTGAGGTGAACCTCACGGCTGGAGGATTAACAGGGTAATCGGCAGGAAAGGTCATGGTGGCATTGAAGAAACCTCCATCACTGCAATCACAAATTATTCCATTAATCTCCAAAGCACTAAAACTAAAGAAGCATACAAACCAATAAAAAAATTGCTAAAAATTGGACCACGGTCAGATTCATGTCATCAAATTATAAAAAGTTTCCTTACACTCTAATTCACCCTCAAATCTATAAATACTCGGGATAAGGCAATCAATTTGTTGATAGCCAGTAAATGAAAATGCAAAAAGGTTCAAGCTTTAACCAGTTGAGGTCAAGTGGAAACATTTAAAAGCAAAACCAACATAAAATCCAACATGAAAACCATAGATAGCACCCAGAATCAAGCTGATCATCAAGCCAAAAAAACAAAAAAAAAAAAACAGAACTTTACACAAGAAACTTAATTCACTTACTAAAGTGTTTCGGGGGGTCCCATAATGGTGACACTCCATTCAAAAACATTACTTTCATCGACCAATCCGGCAGAAAAACCATCAACAGGGTTTTTGCAGAGATCTACAACACAAGACATCACACATCAGCCAACCAAAATTTGAAAATTCAGATTGGATGACTCAGAATCAAGAGAAAATCACTAGGGTTTTTGATTTGTTTTTGACCTTTTAGTTGCTTCTGGAGAAGGAGACTCGCCTGAGAGGAAGCCATGGAGAGAAGATTAAAAGGTAAGAAAAACAAATATTATATTATTAGTGAAATATTTAAGAGCACGAAGAGAAAGAGGGGAAGGCAAAGGTCGACAGCATTGTTTCTTTCACCCCCTGCTGCTATTTATACAGAAGATGGACAGAGCCCTATTGCTTTGCCGTGTCGGTTTCACATTGTCCCTGACACGTCGGATATTCCAACTTTTTCTTTATATATATATATATATTTCAGTTTATATTTTAAAAATAAAGAAAGTAAAAAAGGTTTGGTT